TGCATGTGTCCCCCCAGTCAGAGATCCACGCCGTGGACACAGTGTTGGAAGGCAGGCACATTCACATGGGTTGTCCCAGATTGGGCAGGGGGGTCATCACTGAGAGACATAAGGATCGAGGTTAAAAGCACAGATCCTGCAACAGAATTAAGAAAACAGGCAGAAATCCCTGGGGAGGCTGTTAGACACCACACAAGTGTGTGCGTGTGTGTCAGACAGATACTATCACGTGCCTGAATATATTTCAAAACAATGCATTTTATTCAACTTCTTGCAGCTGCTTGGTGAAGAAGAAAATCCTACCAGACACGTATAAGTGCAAACTCCTTTTTGCTCCTGTGTCACATCACAGTAATTTCCCTGAGACACAAAGCAGGATTAAAACCTATCCAGCTGGAGAGAGAAGTGAGGCTGCTCCAGAGTGCAGGTGTGCTGGGGAAAGTAGCTCCACAGATACAGGGTACATTGCTCATCACTTACATTGCTTCAAATCAGTTCGGACAAAAACCACAACAGCGTTTAAAAACCTACTCAGTGGCTGAGGGAAGGGAAAGGAAAAAGGGTTGCAGCAAGCTGGGCAGGAATTTGAGGAAACACTGCCCTCTTCTTTTGTATTTTGTTGAAGTGTTTGTGTGATGCAGGTCCTGAAGTCTCTGCTTGCTTGCTAATGATGCACACTTTGCATCAGCAGAAGCCCTACTACCATTAACCCCATCAGATTGGCATCGTGCTCAGGAGAAATCTGGACTGGGCAAGCACAGCGACAGCAGAGTCTGTTTCCCTTAGAGTAATTGCTTTCCTTCACTCTTCTCCTCCTCTTTCCTGGGTCAGGGCTGTGCACATTAGGCTGGCTTTCACCGTGAGCATCAACGTGTTGTGTAGCTGCTGGGTAAGTACATCAGGAGGCTCACGCCCAGCGTGCAGCTCTCATTGTTCCTTTCTGTGGAAGCTGCTTTCCAATTACACTTCAGTCTGGGGGGAGAACAGATTTCCTGCAGTTTTGAAGCCGGGCAGATTCTTTGCTGAACTGGGACTTGATAAATGTGTATTCAGTCTCACGCACCAGAACACTGAGCAACACCAATATGAAATGCTACAGAAATGCAGCATTTCACTGAGAGAAACTCAGTGTTTTTAAGCAGATGCCATCCAGCAGATAAATGCAGAAATGTACCCTTTTATCACTGTTTTTGCAAGATTTGTGTTTGCCCAATTCGATGGTATCTAGGTGACCATAACAACCAATTACATTCATTTGCCCACACCTGATAGCACAAAACAGATTCCTGCCGTGTGTCGCTGTACTGGGACAGTCAGCAATGACACACAGCCAAAAAAAATCTTTGACAAAGGACAGTCGGGTTTCTCATTGCTCTCTGAGTAACACCGACTCTATCCCAGCTATTTTCTGCTCTCACAGCTTCTTTGTTTGAATGTTTAATTCTTCTTCCTTCCTCTGTTGCACACAGCGGTGGAGCAGGGCAGCAGCTCGAAACGGCTCAAGGTGTCTCTGCAAAGTGCCAGGAGGGATTATTTCTGCATGAGCACAGGCAGTTGTGCTTGCACAGGGTGTTGGCCTCACATCACACTTGTGGCTGAGCACGGTTCTGGTGGGAGTGGGCCCACAGCTGGCCAGTTTACATGGCCAGGGACGGCCAAGGTGCCATTCCCACATCCACATCTCAGGTGGCACAAGAATTATGCTCAGCTCCCCGCAGCTCATGAAACCTGGCTAGCAGCTCCTGGCCATTTGGGTACTAAATCTGCCTACTAAAAGTAGGCAACTTGTAGAGTCAGGAAGTTTGGCCACACCTGCCGACGCATCCTTCTAAAACCCTGCTGAGGAAACGGAACCACTAGAAAGTCAATCCAGCCATGCGGGATGAGATAAACTTAATTCAAACAATTTTGAGTGCGTTTACATCAGGCATTTACACCGGGGCAGTCGGCTTGGCTTTAAGCAGGATTAGCTGACTGGAGGGGCACAAAGCGTTTCCGAGGCTGAAGGGCCCTTGGTTTGATGCTGTTGCAGGCGGATTAGAGCCGAGCAAGCGTTGGAGGCTGCCGAGCGCAGCGCTCTGTTCCTCACGGCACAAGAAGCTTAGGGAAAGGACGCCACAGGCAGATGAGCTGGTGAGACACGATGCTAAGCACAACCCATCAGGCAGCTCAGAGGAATCCTGTTTCTGTACACCACTTGATCACATTTTGCATGAAGCTGCGATTTATCCCGGCAGCGGTGCTGGCTTAAGCAGCAAATTCCACTCAGAAGAAATTTGCAGGTTGAAAGGAAGAGTTGTTAGAAAAATCTCACCGACTGGTGCTGCAGGAGTGTCCCGGTGGCTGCAGAGTGACCATGACATGTGTGGATGTGCCCATTGACATCACCAGCTTCTCAGCCCTGGATGAGCGAGGCTGCACCAGCTCTGCCCCGGGCACACAAGCAGGGTGAGGATCTTTGCAGCCAGCCTCACGTGTCAGCCCTGGGGTTATTCCCTGACTGGAGCTGCAGAAATCTGTAGCCTGTATCCAGTGTGGGAGCAGTAACAGGACCCAGCCCTGGCAGTGACACATCTCTTGGCCCCACATCAGACGAGCCACGTGGGTCCACGGGGCTTCCTGTAACTCCTGAGTTTGGAATCACCACCCTGCTCCTGCCCTGAGCCAGCCAGCCCACAACATGTTTTCCCATGCAGCTATAGAAACATTTACTAACAACATCTGGTAATGGCCTCGCCCTATTTCTGATCCTTTTAGTAGCCTCCTGGTCAAATGACACAATTTGGGGTTTTAGAAAATCTTTAAACATGAACTAAAATCTCTCTGGTGCTGCTTTCTCTTTTTTATTTTTTTGACAGGTCAAAGGCTGCTCTGATATGAGGTCTCACCTTTCCTGCTCCCACTCACCTGCCTACCACCTTGGGTCCATTTTTAATCATGGTTACCAGCACACTCATCCTGATGTGAAGGGTCTAAAGGCCTGAGCTAGTTCTCCCATCAGGCAGCGTGTGGTTTTGGCTCTCACTGACCCCATGGCCACATTTTTGCTTTCTAGCTGAGCAATTTGGGGCCGGAGAGGAGCTCAGGCAGACAGGTGCAGGCAGTGCAGGTCCCCGCTGGGGCCCAGGTTATGCCACTGCTACATGCTGGGACCACACTTAATTGCTCCTCACCACTCAGAGCAGTATTTCAGCTGTAATGTAATTCCAGGCCTCCAGCATGGCCACTTCTTGTGACCGTCTCCCTCCTCCCCATGTCCCCCTCTGGGGATCCCTTTCCTCTCTCTTCTGCAACCTTTTGCTGTGCCAGGCTCGGCTAGGTCTCACTGCAGAGCTGACACTGCTGTGGAGGAAGTGAAATTGGTGTTTTATTAGACAGGGCTTTTCTTTCTTCCTCTCAGTTGGTACTGAACTGCAGAAGCAAAGAGCCCTCACACTGAAGACAGTGTCTCGGGTGAAATGTCTAATGCAGTCCCAACTGCTCAGCAGTCATTAAACATCTCAGGGAAGATGTTCCAGGAACACGGATGTTAACCTTGTGGTCCTGGACTGATTCCAGCTCGTTTAATTACAGTTTTCATCGCTGAAATTTGCTCTGCACTTTTGACCAGTTATGGGATTTTTTCCCCTGTCTCCTCGAAGCTGTTGAGCAGCCTTGCTATGAGCTGCCCCATTCCCCACATGACCTGAAGAAACATGCAATTACTGCTGCTCCCTCCCCCAAGATTGGCAAAGCTGTTGTATTTTCTGGTTACTTAACAATTCAGGATTCTGCACAGTATCACCAGCTTACCTATACAGAAACATTTTACCTGTTTAACCTGGATAGATGGATATATATGCATAGCACAGACCATATATGAGCCAAATACATGCTGTTGTTGCAGAGAATATGACCTTTATCATTAATATAAATATAAATACAAGTATCATATATAATCATATAAAGATATAAAAAGTAATCCAAAGTAAGTGATAATGTAATGCAAGCTAAACAACCTACACAGTCCCTCGTAATGAAAAATGGTATGAGTATAAAGCTATATGAGTATAAAAACACTATATGAGTATATACATTCATATATGTGTGTATGTGTATATATATATAAACTCTATAAAAATGAATTAAGCTGTTTTAAACCTCACACCTTTGTGTATGTGGGATGAATCTCCCCCTTCAGCAAGCCTCGGCAAACAGTTTGGGGGTAACAAAGCTGTATTGCAAAGGAATCCCCATTTCACAGCATCATGGGATTTGGCGGGGTGTGATGACAACCTTGGAACTGTCCAAGGCCAGGTTGGACAGGGTTTGGAGCAATAGTGGAAGATGTCCGTGCCCAGGGGTGGAACTGTATGGGCTTTAAGGTCCCTTACAACCCAAAATTCTGTGATCCTGTGGTGCGGCAGCAAAAGGCCACCGAGCCCAGAATCCCGCCATGGGGCGGACGCTCCCCTGCCCCACAGAAAGCCCCAGGAGCACATCGGTTTGGGGCGGGGGGTGTTCCCCGGGTGACCCAGCGCTCTGACCCGGCACACGGAGCGGTTTAACCGCCGGGCTCCGGCCCCTCAGGCGGGGCCGCTCCCTCACGCCGGGG